GACAGAAACGGTTGTTACTTAACATGCTCATGAAAGAGTCGTTTCTGTAAACCACTTGTTTATCTGTTTCGTATACTTTTATACATTTGCGAAAGAGCAGTTATATTGGATAGAGAGGAAAAAGGAGATCGATTTTATATTGTTATTACTCGTTATTATTCGAATAAGGGGGACAATAAGAGATATCAAGAGAAACAGATTTAAAGTTTTTTCTGCATAATCTATGCAGAAAAAACGCCTATATTGTAACTTGAATAAGAAGATAAAAAACCATCAGTAAGCTCACTTGAATAACCATTTCACTTTATAACTGGTGTTCAATACCCCTGAACAGAATGCAAATGAAGCGAGAATAGAAAGGAAGAAATACAGCGAGAAAAAGACAGAAGCAAAAAGTACGTGATAGGAAGTAAAAACACGAAAGAAAAGGACAAAGGCGAAAAGTTTAGTAGGCTAGAAGAAAGAGAGAGCATAGACTTGTAATAATTGTACTATTATAGTTATGTAAACAGGTTCGTTTATGATACAGCGGAAGTTAACGGTACAGTCTTAAGGCAGGCTTCCCAGTCGACGTCTCATTAGTTGCGATAGAAAGGAGGAAGGAGGAAAGAGGAGAGCATAGAAAGAAGACGAAGAGCGCGACCTCAATGTATGTATGTATAAGTGCTGATTTTAAATCGATCGGGTTTTAATACTTGTTTTATTACTTCACACAGTGTTCTTTTTCTCTTCGTTGTTTTTTGTCTCTCCAGCGATAACAAGCGAAGCATGTTTAAAACGCGAGAATGTATTTTTTGTTGCAAAATTTAAATCAGAGATAAATAGTTTAACAAGAAGGAAAAGAAAGAAAAAGAAGGAAGAACATATGTAAAGGTCGATGCTACACAAATGTTATAAAAGGATACAAGAGGATCAGAATATGCTAATTTGAAAATCCGTAACGTTATATACAAACGAAACCAAAGCAGAACAGAAGAAAAAAAAAGAAAAGAAAGAACTTAAAATTTATATCACTAATTCATTAACAAATCGTTCTTCAATTGCGATAAACTTTGCAATAGTAATTGATAATAATTTGTCATTAGTCATATAAATAATTGATACATAAGTAACTAATTGTGTTGATAGCAAATTGGCTTTTATTAGCTTCAATGAGCATTTATTAAATTGAAAACATACATATAAAACAAAAATCATTAGCTTGAAAATAAAATTATCCATTTAATTTGTTTTCTCTCTCGTTATATATAAAAATGTTTATTGGTATTTTTAAGTTTCAAATGTCATTTTATATAAATATGAAATGTATAAAGTAATAATAAATTTAAAAATATTTACTTGTTTATGAATAACATTATATATAATTATTAAATATATATTAAATATCTAATTCCGATAGATGAATAAACTCCTATTTAAACTCTAATAATATTAATTTGAAAGGTTATATTTATCTTTACAAAATGTAAACACATCCTACGAGAAAGCAGAAGAAAATGGACAGTCTCAAAAGATAATGGAATATTTGCTTTGAAACGCGAAATAAAGATATAACAAAACGAGAGAGAGAGAGAGAGAGAGAGAGAGAGAGAGAGAGAGAGAGAGAGAGATAGAGAGAGAGAATCTTTAGGATCATATTTCTTGATTTACGTCTGCATAAACACCAACTTGAAGTAAAACGTAGACATTATTACAAGACTATGTCATCAAAGTAAAGGTAACATTGAAACTAAAGAGAACGCTGTGAATATTTGCTAATGTGGCAACATATATGAGGAATGTTATACTATGTATTTAATTACGTATCATGTATTTTGCATAATGGCATTAATCTTTCTAAAACATATTATGTTGTTTACATTGTTTATATTGTTTATAAATTGTTTATAAATAAGTGAAAATTTTACATTTATTTTCGTATTTAAAATAGCCGAAAAAATACATTGTATTTATATAAAAATCATGAAGTAGCTTTTGTCTTTTAATTCTCATTAATTTATCAAGTGATAAATTATTACGTAATTTATCACTTTTGCTTCGTATTATTATGCGAGTTCTCTATTAGATTGCATTTAGAGCGCACTTACTTCAATGCATGTCTAACGAAATGTACATTAACGGTCGCTAGTTCCTTACGCGGTTTCACCGAAGCGAGATTGCGGCATACACGGTATAATGCAGTTCTATCCTCATAAAGTAGAAAATTACTTACTAATTGCCCAAGACTATAATGTAATAAAATTTGAAAGAAATTTAAAAAGGAAGAAGAATATTTTATCTTTGAATTTCAAAAAATTGCTTTTATGGGAATTACTTTTTGATTTGCTGTCTCTAATTCACATTAAAATTAATAAAATAATTTCTTTATTTAAAAAAAATATATAACGAATCAGTTATATACATTTTCTTAATATAAAATTTTGCTTTACCATAAAATAAACAAATCTTCGTTAGATACCAATGGCGAATATGCAGTAGGAAATGTAAGAATAATATTTCTCTCGAACAGAAAGAAATGGCGAATAGAATAGAAAGTGCAATAATACATCTTATCTTGGTACATATAATATATCTTATCTTGATAAGATTTATATAGTGTTATATTTTTTAATGATTATTATATTTTTATACTTTATATATTGCATTATATTTTAAAATATCACATTTTAATTGTACTTTAATTTATTGTATTATACTGAAATCTTAAATTTTCATCACCTTGACTCATAAACGCATAGATCAGTTCATTTCACGAGTACAACGAAATTAAAGTTTCTCTAGTCAATTACAATGTCTTACGTCAAACAACAAGTATCGACGGAAAACTCTGTGCTCTCTATGGACGAACCCATTTCAACGCGGGGGACACGTAACTAACGAACCGTGAGAGTAAATGGCGATGTTTAAAGCGCCGGATGTTCGTGGCGATGTCGTTAGATTGACGAGACGTCGTGACGCCTCCCGTCGCGCTTGCGTTCTTCTCGCATTGAAAAGAACATCTTTCTTCTGTCTTTTCCTTCGACAAGGCACCTCAAGACATCTGTTCCATTAATTTGATTCAATGACGAATCAGCGATATAATATAAATTGCATATCTCATATTCTGCAAATTGCAAATTGCAAATACTAGAATTTTCATTATCTATCATTTTTTCACATATAAAATAAATTTTCTAGAAAAAGAACGATTTTAAAAATGAAATCAAAGGAATTTTAATTTAATGTGACCTTATTTACAATATTTCGTATTTTATATTGCAACAATTTAATAAAATTAATCCGGTTCTGCCAGTTCAGCTAATTACTTATGTTTCTAGTACGCTCAAATTTCTTAGAAATTTATCACATACACGTATAAAGAAAATTCCAAACGTTCCTCATTACAAGGAACGTTTGAAATTCTATGATATTCAACTGAAAAGACGTAAGACCAGAAGTAAGAGATTCGTAAATTGAATTTATAATTCATTTCAGGATAAGGATTGCATAGGATGCGCATTGCATATGAAAAATTATGGATATTGAATCTTCTCTTTCCTTCGTTAACGGCAACATACAATAATGATTACGCATAGAAGATTCAGGAGTTCCTAACAGGGGCAAATTACAATACCGATTCATGCACCGTTATAACGATTGCCTCGGGTCAACATAAGTTATTCATAGCTTGCCAAGATTCAGATCCCTAACAAGATATTGCAATTAATACGCGCTTACGTCGCGTTAAAAAATATTCAGAGCGTAAAATTTCATAAATGTGATCTGACATAACGTTGGATTGCGAGATTATCATCGAAGCTAGAAAAAAAAAGACATAAAACGATCAAGACATCGCATGTAACACCTATCTCTCTCCTCTTACGAATTGTAAATAAAAGTGATATCTAGGGTGCTCGCTGAGTGAGACGCCGCCATAAATTGCCAATACAGAATTGAATATCATCATTATGGATTTCGTTAACATGAAGGCGCTTTCTTACTTTCTTTTCATAATAGTTACGTAAGATCGATCGATCTATTTACGTAACGCTGATAGTCTCTGCCGTTGGCCGTTGAGAAATGTTACCGTCGAGGAAGTAGGATTACGGAAATCGCGTTCTCTTTCCGTTCGCGTAGCTCGTTTTCTCTCACCGAGAGAAATCTCCGCAGATTCTATGCTCGTGCACTCTCCGTATATGCTTGAATATGAATCGCCTAGGGCAAGTACTCGATATTATTTCTTCTGGCAACCTTGACTGTGGAATAATCTACCTTGCACGTCGGTTAAGCAAAACCTGACCGGTATGCGAGACGTATACTGATTTTAATATATAGCACCTGTATATAATTTGTGCAAACGTGTGTTTAACATTGATGTGAAATAATTTATATAAGAAAACATTTTAATGAGAGATTAGAAATCAAACACGCCAATTTTTTTTTTTAATATTTTACGGCTAAAAAAAATGACAAAAAAGAGATAAACATTGCCTACTGCATCTTATCTCTCGTCTCACTCACTTCTAATATTTTATCTTAATCACCAGATTACCCAATATTCTATCATAATCGTTAACTAGAGCGATAAGCTCTCCATCCATTTTAGATAGCGTAGTTGGAATCGTAACTGCCATATGATGATTGGTTCATACTTTCACATATCTCCTGGTAACCATATTGTAATATGTTCCGCTTAGTTTCACAGGAAGCAGTTAAGATTCCACTTATGTCGTGTACTTATGATAACTTGCAAGTATGTTACGTAAGATTTAACAAGCCAGTTTTACAGACGTTCGAATTTACAATTTATTTTTTGTCACACGCTATGATTGCACAATGTAAAGATAATGCAGGTAAATCGATGGAAATAAGCAAACAGTATATTTTCCAAAATAATACATCGAGAAAAATTATTTACGTTTGCTATGAAATAATTATATTTATATTTTGAGTTAATACTTTCACGCAGATAAAATAGATGTGGGAGGATAGGAAAAATTTCTTCGAGAAACAGAACACCGTATTAATAATTTAATATTTATTCTGCTAAGACAGCACGTGTGTAAAAAAAAGAACCGCAATTATTATATACAAGAGCATCGTTAGTATTAATTGACATCAGATCATCGTCAATGGTGCAGACTGATTTCATGTCCGCCACCATATCCGCCACCATATCCGCCTTCGAAACTACCACCGCCGAAACCGCCTCCGTGACCGCCTTCGTGTACCAGAACCGGGTACGATTCCTTGACGACGACCGGAACTTTGACGGGATACGGCACTTCCTTGTGCACGGGGTACGGTACTTTATAGGGAACGCTATAGGGAACAGGCACCTTGACGGGCACTTTAACGGGTACCTTGTAAGGTACCGGAACGGGTTTTTCGACAGGGACTGCCACGGTTTTCTCCACTGGAACCGGGTAAGGTTTCGGAACGTGATACGGTACCGGATTGTCTACCGGGATCTTCACCGGCACATGTACGGGCACCGGTACGCTCTTCTCGACGGTGTAGGGTACCGGAACCGGTACCGAGACTTCGCGATGAATCGTGATGCCGGAGATTCGTCCACCGTCACCTCCGCCGCCTCCGCCCCCTCCGCCGAAACCACCGCCAAATCCTCCGTCACCGCCGCCGAAGCCGCCAAAATCGTGTCCACCCAAACCGCCGCCAAAACCACCGTCATGACCCAGACTCAATTCCAGGCCGCGCTTGCTCTTGGTATCCTTTGAGTCGACGGCCTTCTCTTTGCTGTCGGCCTTCTTGATTTCAGTGGCCAAAGCCACCGTCGCCACAAGGGCGAGGAGCACGAGAATCTGCGAATAAACGTGCGTTATTAATTGCGGTCCTTTACCTTATCAACCTTAGAATTGACTGATCAATTTAGGAAGAGCTTTAAAAATATCGTTGGAAATGATAACAAAAATGCCTTGCGATAAAAAAGATATAAATAAAACAAAAAATAATAAAACAAAAAATATACATATATAATAAAAAAATTAAATGATAATCTATTATTATACAAACGTCGGCGCACTTTGCAAAATGTGAACGTAATATCTAATTAAATCTCCCATTATTTTTTTCTTTTTTTAGTAAGACTTTTTAATCTTTTAGGAAAACAAAAAATCTCACGTAACAAGAATTTGGACTTTAACACTGTGCGCGACGGCACCAGGAATACAACACAATGATTATCTCTAAAAGATCTCACGCCGTCAAATCCCGTGACGCTACCCTCTTATACATCGTTCATAATTCCCGTGCATAATTCTCCGTTCCGAGGCGAGGTCCTAAAGGGACCCCATGCGCCGCTCTATCAGCAACGCGAGCTCACCTGCGAAGTGCTCATGGTAGCCTTCGGGAGTGCACACTGAGATTGCATCGTACCAATCAGCGGCATATATACCGGCACTTTCGCCCACTGCTCGCTGGCCCACTCCACGGAAAATCGCGCTCGTCCGCGTCGGTCTTTCTTTAAGGTGAACAGAACGACCACCACCGCTCGGTAAGCCGTTTTCCCACGGGCTAACCGCCCCAGCGTGGCTGATTACTGCCGGATGCGCGGATACGGGCGGCGTAACATCGCCGCCCCGTCGTTCCAGGCTGTTCCAATCACTATTCCCCTCGCCGAGGAAGAATCGCAATTTCAGAGTTTGCGATCGATTCGACTTTTCTTTCGCGAGCCTTTCGATCTAATCCATGACTTTCTTTCCTTCTTTCTTCTTTCACCTCCACGGGGCAAAAACATCACGGCCATTGCTTCCTTTTTTGCTCGTACCTCGTAAATTTTACCGGATATAACGGCGGTCGTAGCTCCCAATGCGTTACGCAAGATAGAACTAGTTGCCTTACGCAGGGACAATTAGCGGACTCAATACTTATAAGCGAGCGGATAAAAAATATGTAAATTGGTACAATTGTGATTCGTAAAAAACAAAAAAATATTTTTCCAAGAAAGTCTCTAAAAATTACTTTAAAAAATTATTTTAATTGTCTATAATATTATAATTATAATAAAATATATTATAATTATTATAATAAAAATTTCAGAGGCTATATATATATATATATATATATATATATATATATAAAATACATATACGTAACAGCTTGTTTTTAGATGACTCGTAATACTTATGCTTTCCCCTGAAATAAACGGATGGTAATATGACGAAGGACGTTCGACTTAATTTGACGTTCGACTTAATTTGACGTCGTCGCGTAATCGCCTCGATAGAGATCTTAAATTTAATTCTACGATCTCGTCGGCACGTTTTCCTTGAGAAATGGTTTAGTGACACTCATAGAACGCCTCTCAAGCGGTTTAGGAGACGTAATTCGTATCGATATACTCGATTCGCCGAGCAATTAACTGCTACGACTCGGAAAAGACTCTTTGATATCGCATAACTCTCGCGAAAATTAAATCACATTAAAACATCTTCCTTAATTAATACATGACTGGCTTTACGAGCCACCTCATAAATCTAATTAAACGACAAAATTCATGTAGCGTAAAATGATAATGCGCGCGCAAGACGATGCGACGATTAGACTTTCTCCGTATGTCGCGGACACGTGCGCGCATTTTGTATCCCGGCATCATGCTCGATGCCCGTTTAATTAAAAAGTAAATTCGCAATGCGCGAAGGAAGTTGTTAAAGTATTACAATGCTTGGCAATAATGCAGTCGATGGTACACACGTTGATGATCGTCAAAGAGACAATGTGAAAATTTGCGCGAGCGTTTCAACACGCTCACTTATGAGGTAATCAACGCGCTATTGTTGTTTTTTCAGTTACCTTGTCCAGTTTATTTTGTAATATTTTATATAAATACATATATATGAAGGAATCGAAAGTTTTTCGATTGTCAGTCAACCGTGTCGTTAACGTAACGTGTGAATCATCTAATGTCGAAATAAAAGCGATATCTTTCCCATTTTTTTTGACACTCGGATACCGTTCTCGGATCTTACAAAGACATGTGCCACTGCTTAAAGTCATTCACGCGCAGCAACTTTTTATTAAAACTACTTTCATAATCGATTCACATGAATACTTTGGCATTAAACGTAACTCTCTTGTATCATTCCCACGTGGCATTTTATTGGCCACTAGATGAATCAACGTAATTTTAGGTAAACGCATTTAATGACGTCTTTGTAAAAGGTCTCACTTATATAATATTTTGTATAAAATAATCTAATAACTACGCAGTTACATGTTTCGTTGAATAAATCTGTATAATGATCATATAATTATAAGCTATATGGAGCGCAACACGCATATTAAATAAATATTCATATTTCGCACAAACCATCACAAAGTTTCGATACACGGTAAGCATTTGCATTATTCAGTAAACAATTGTTCCATGTATCGGTTAGTACGGATTTCGTTTAATGAGGATATGCTCATTACAAATTCATTTAATCGAGTTGGACTTTTATTTAATATGTTGAACTCTCAACTAGAATGCGCGTAAATTAAATAAATACAATATATATTGCATATAATGTGATAATCTTTACCTCTCTATAATTAGTCGATTAAAATCATAGTCCGCTTTAAATATATCTTTTACTTACATTTATATAATCGATTTAATCGTCTTTTTCTAAAACTGTGATTTAATGATATAAATATTAGACTTTATATATATATATATATATATATATATATATAATATATATAATAATATAATATTATAATACATATATCTATAGCACCTATGCCATATATGCCTCTCTATATTATACTTATATGTAATTTGCTAAACAAGAAAAATACGAGTAAAAGAGAAAGTAAATTTCTTATTCAATTGCATTTTTTTAATAGCTCAATAAAGTATTTTATATCCGGTACAATCTTTCTCTCAATAAGTTCTTGACTTATAAACTTACTTTTTAATCTATAATTTATACGATCAATTTTTGCTACTTTTTTACTTACAGCTTTTTAAAGTTAATTTTATTTTAACTTTTATTTTGACTTTTAATTTAAAGTCTCTTGTTTTATTTCTAAGAATAATAAATAAATATTCCTATTAGTGTATATATAATTTGACAAATAAATAAAAATAAAAAATTTAAGATATCTCGAAAGCTAATTATGTATAAGATTACATTACATGCATCTTTATTTATTGTATATTATTACATGTATATATATGTATATTATTACATGTACATTTATTAATTATAATTTGTTTTGCCATGCGTAATAGAAGAAATTGATTTAAACAAGCAAATATAAAAATGTATAACTAAAATCATATCAATACACTTGAAATATCCACTTTCCCGAAGAAACTAAAATAATTACGATACTGTTGAAGAGAGAGAAGGAGAGAGACAACGAAAAAACTAAAAATCTCTTTCATCTCTGTAGAGCGCAAATTATGTTTATGTTTGAAGGGTCGAGGATATTTCAGAAGCGGAAAGGACGTAACTAGAAAACGGTTTGATAAACACCTTGAGCGAGAACATCTATCCATATATTCATGAGAGCCGCGGTCTGGCCGACTCCAAAGCCTTTCCCATTATTGCATAAGGTTACACTTTGCGGTCGGTGAAGCAGAAATGCAGACTACGCGAAAATCCCGTCGACGACGCCTGTCCTCACCGTAGACAGTGCGCGAAAATCCGTCAGTGCACTTAGGGAGTATTTATGCTATTTCGTCGTCACCTCTTTCAATGATATAAAAAGTTTAAGCAACTTGAATGTCAAAAAAATACTTCAAGAAAGATAAGAATCGCAAATTGAAAGTTTGCTTCGCAGTCTCGGGACATTGCGGCTTTTCGCAATTGCAATCAATTTGCGTTTTACGCGAACGAGGCCGCCGAAAAAAAATTCCGTCCTGCGTAAATTAATAACGTGTGGACTCTATATTTTTCTAATGAACTCTGAAGGAGAGAGAAGGGAGAATATACGCAGATATTTAAGTTGACATTAGGCGCAGGTGCTCGCATGCAAAGGAATAATTTGCATATGGTGTACACGAGCTCGGCTTATTGCGCTGTGTGAGATCAAAAGCGGTTTTCGTGGCTTCGCGAAAAAGCACTTATATTAGTGATAAGAAGCATGTATCAAAATTTACATAATTGTAATCTACATAAATATTAAGAAATCGGTAGAAAATGTATCATCAATATAGCCACCTTCGATGTAAGCGTCTATCGCATGCATTGTATCCGGTAATAAAGATAATCGGTCAGTTCACTTCGCGAAGTTCCGTATACGTAATGTTAAGAAGTCACTACAATCGGTCGAACAGAAAAGAAAAAGAATAATAATAAAGGTTGAAGTTTTCACTGCGATAGATTTAATCTTAGTATTCTTATAGCGGCCTGTGAAAACAGCTTCCTGATATTATTCCTACTGCAGAGAAACTTTCGAGCGAATAACTTCGCAATTAAAATCATGCGGTTCGCGTATACGTAATTCCAAACATAATAACACTTCGCGCAAAGGCACTTATGACACAATAAGAGTACACAGAAAAGTTTAATTTGAGAAAGACTCAACTAACGCGTTATGAGAGCATCATATATTGCATTGCCACCCTTGAACGAATAAAAATATCAAAAACAAACCTCGTTAAAGTTATAGCCTTCGTGTTAGAATCATTTCAATATTGAACCGTTACTTTTAACATTAATATATCTAGAGCGTGCATCAAAGTAATACAATGTTTCTTCAATGATACTTATATTATTAATGCAAAATAAATGTACTGCATTTATTAACATGTATTACATTACATTTAACATGTATAACAAAGTATTACATTACGTTAAATGTACAATGTATTACATTACGTTAAATGTACAATGTATTACATTACCTTAATGTTATAAGATTAGTATATATACATATGGATATATACATATACTCATGGATATATACATATTAATAATATTATCTATCAATTGAATATCATGAATAGCATAATTATCATATGCATTTGCAGATATATCGTAATTCATTAATAATATATTGAAAAAAGTTATTTAAAGCGCTTAATTAAAACTTCACAACATGACGCACTTGTTAATCAATAATTACCAACTTACACGGATATATTGTCGCTGGTTGATGAAAATGCGCAGTAAATAGAGTAGAAACGACCGCAGAAAACTAGTCATCCCAGTGTCTTAACGCATGTCATTAATTAACAGATTTTCGCGCTTATATAACAAACCGATTAGATAACAATGAAGTTCATTATCGCGTATCAATTTATTTATCATTTAATGTTGTATATATGATTTATAACTTTCAACAATCTTTTCCGAAACAAAAATATTAAAAGAAAAGAATTTTTAATTAATTAGAGATAATCTCTCTGTTCCACAATATTCTATCCTCCTTCAATATCCTATAAAACTTTTAATTTATAAGAAAAAAATTTTTTGGACGTTCTGATATATTCGAAACTGTCAATTATCGGCTTTTGGCATAGCATGTCGACAAGCAGCAGCACGAGCAGATTGTGGTCTTCAGTGAATCACTATAAATTCATCAAAAACAATTTAATCCCCGAGTATAGGTCAAGTGAAAACCATCGCATACATCGTTCCCCCGATTTTCGTTGTAGGTCGACAACCAATCGAAAGGGAGGGAACGTTTGGCCTCTCGAAACACGCTCTATCCAAAGCTAGAAGTCAAATCAATATTTTCGGATTCAAATATGGAAATACAAATTCAAATGTATGGAAATTTATTCGTGCCGATAACTCTGATAAACCATGGATACGCGAATATTCTAACACCCTTCGAACCTGCCGAGATCGAAGTACAAAGTCATTCCGAGATTAACTGTACCCGGGGGAACTACCTATGATAAACCAAAAATCGCGCCATTGTTATATATCGAGCTTCTACGATACCGAGTTTCTACGTTCTCGGCCAGCTCAAAACCATTTCTAACATTCGTGAATTTTATCCGACCGCGTTAACGAGTTTCAACTTCTTAAAGCGATGATGATAGCGGTCAGCATCTTCAAATCATTCTTTTTAATTTCACGGCCAGTGATGATATTATCTTCTTCTCAGCGACAAATGTCACGGCGCATGAAACGGCGTAGGAAAGAGATAACACGCTGGTTGAACATGCTATGAGCATGGAAATGAGGCGAGGTATATTAAATTCGAAAGAGAGAAAAAAAGTTGGTACCAAATATAAATGTTCCAACGCGCTCGTATATTCGGACGATGAAGAGAAAAAAAGCGAGTAAGGAAAAGCATTTTCGTGTCATCAAAAAATTCCAATTCTTTGCCTCTTAAATTAATTAAGCTCTTAATATTGATGAAGCTTTCGGCAAACATGGAAACATAGAAAAGCATTGTTAATTAAATCAAATTAATAGACAAAAATCAATCATAAAATTGCATTATTTATCGCTGTAAATAATTTCAATGCATTGATTTGTTTTATAATTAAAAAGTTTTCGATTATACATAAGTAATATAAGATATATTAATAAATTTTTCCTGAAATCAAATATTAATTAGAATATTGAGAATAAAAAAATGGTTTGCTCATAAAGAAAACATGAAAACTAATTGAATATGCTTTGTATTTTAAGTTTGTACTTTTAATTCATAAAATTTTAAACCGTTTAACAAAAAATAGCATATATATTTAAAAATAGCATATTACTATATTTACTAATTAATCTTAAAATTTATTGATTTTTTTATAAACAATATTTTTTCAAGTTTTAAAATACATAAAACAAAAATATGTCTATATGTCGAATATCTATGTCGAATGAGAGTATATTTGATATTAACTAAAAGATACTACTCTATCGCTGAGTAAAAATTTAATATCACGTAAGTGTAGCGAATAATTCGGATTTTTTCCGCTTTGTGTTACAAAAATACGTTTCTGTCCAGAGTCAAACGAACTCGAAAAAACGCGACAAAACAATCCAGAAAAAAAAACGAAGAGAAAACAGTCGCGAAGACAAAGGCAGACGGAGAAAAGCATCGCCCACGACGGCGTTGTCTTCCTCTTCTCCTGTTGACTTCCTACCCGCCGACAATTTCATCGGCACGCTCGAGTTGCCCAGCGGGCAGAGCGTTGCGTCCCCTATAAAAGCGAGGGTAGACGATAGCGGTACCAGTGTGTGCTCACTACCGACCAACATGAACAGCACCGACAAGCTGAAAGTGAGTAGTTCCAGTAAGATAGCCGTTCGAATTACCGCTTATAGAAGCACGAGCCGTACATTCGGCCGAGTCGTGCAACACGCTGCAGTCTCTTACATATTTCTAAGCGCGATGACTCGTTTCCCACTAGATGTAATGAGTAGGCAGATTTTTATTTGCGGATTTGTACGTGACATACGACAGAAATTATTAAATATTCTCTTTGCATGTCCATTGTTTCAAAAAATATTGTCAGGATATAGAGAACGTTGCACCTCCAAAAATTTCAGAGAGATTAAATTTGTACAGTAATTATCCTCCGGATTTATCTAATAATAGTTATATTTTATTCTAAATTTTGAATCACTTTAAAAATATTTTAAAATATTTTTATTTTTTTTTAATCTCTGGGACAACTTTGAAAAATAGATTTAATGCTCTTGTCATTAAAAAATTTTTGCTAATATTGATTAAATAAAATTATAAAATTATAAAATTAATTTGTTTACATATTTAAAGACTTATATTATCTCATTTTACAAGACATTGAACTCGGATAAATCATTGATGCAAGATATACGATAAGACCTCTCATGAAATCTCATGTTAGCATTAGCAAAGCAAATTGCAACGAAGCCTATGCATGTCGCATGACGCTGTATCTCGTACTTCATACAATACAAATTCTAAGATCACATTTATCATTACGATTTACAAATTCAGAACAGGAACAAATATTTCCTTTCTTCCGGCAGATAATACTCTTATGCGGCCTAGTATTATCGGTCGTAGCTGAGAAGATCGAGGAGGCGAAGAAAACTGAATCCAGCGCTCAGCCAAAGGATGAAAAGTCAAAACGCGGATTGGAACTGAGCCTGGGCGATCACGGTGGTTTCGGGGGCGGTTTCGGAGGCGGTTTCGGCGATGGCGGATTCGGCGGTCACGGTGGTGGCGAGATAATTTCTACCGATCACATCAAAGCGGTGACAGTCACGAAGCATGTACCAGTACCGCATCCGTACCCCGTAGAGGTCACGAAGCATGTGCCCTATCCGGTAAAGGTGCCGGTCAAAGTACCCGTCGATCGCCCGTATCCGGTCCACGTACCGCAACCATACCCGGTAGAGGTCACGAAGCACGTGCCCTATCCGGTAGAGAAACCGGTGCCCTACCCAGTCAAGGTGCCCATAAAGGTACCCATCAAGGTGCCCTATCCAGTCAAGGTGCCAGTCAAGGTTCCGGTCGAAATAGCGAAACCAGTTCCCTATCCCGTCAAAGTACCTGTGGTCGTCAAAGAACCCTATCCCGTGGTCGTTAAAGGTCACGACGAAGGCGGCTTCGGCGGCGGATTCGGTGGTGGACATGACTTCGGCGGCAGTTTCGAGCTCGGCGGTGGTGGACACGATTTCGGCGGATATCATTGAGACAAAATTGTAGGAAGGAAGCAAGGACTTGCGTCGTCCTCTTTTGTCTCACGCTATGCGAGACGAGGAAGCTTTCGATCATCGAGAGATCGAGGAGCGACCGACAGAGCGATTACATCGTTCTAATAAAAAAAAAATAATAATAATGCGACGTATCAATATTCTATTTTATTGTGATCCCATCCTCGGATTGTACTATACACGCTGTAAATGTAAACACGAATAAAGTATTCTTTTGTACGTAACGATTGCTTATGAAACTAATATCGAGAGAGTATGAGGGAAGGCTTAAAGACGACGGGGAGTCTGACACGTTACGCGATTATATGAAGAATTGCGAGTGGAACTTTCACTCGTTGATATTACGCGAGTTGCGCCAAGAGAAATACACCTGTTTTTCCGTAAACGGTGTATGTACCACTGGAAAAACACAAGCGTAGGGATCGTTAAAGTAAATGCGTTGTAACGTTCAACGCGAGAGGGATAAGCGTAAGAAGTAAATGTCAAAGCGCGCGAAAATTGCGCGCCGAAGCGGCAAATATTCCCCTGCGAATGTCCTCTCGCCTCTCTCTTTAAATTAATCTCGCCTTTCGACACACGCATCATGCGCCACCATGCGCGACGTATGCGTGTAAGCTTGCGTCATAAGGATTCGATCAACGATCGTTAAGCCAATTGCGTCGTTTGATTTTTCAGCTGCATCGATAGTTTCTGAGACGTAGCGTATATATAATAAAAATCGCAAAAGAGTTATTGCTAAACATTATGCGATTGCGACACATCGTTGCTTACGCACTACCTTTACGACACTTATTTGATACTATCGGAATTAATCGACAGAAATATTCGTATGACGTACGGTGTCTTAGATAGTTGCTTTGCATTCGAGTTTGATTTAATTATGCGGTATATAACGTGTTCCGAAATACACGATTTTTATATATCTACTACGAATTCCTACTATGCAAACTAGTATGGAAATGATTCAATGAACACTTTCAATTTATATATGCTTCAAGGACAACCTGTGACTTGTAGGACCGGATGCAAAATGTTACCTCTCATTTTATTCGGTCACATATCTAATATAATATTATTATATGCAAAGGATTGACTAAATCAATCATGCCCTTAGAATGTCGTATTTCTCAATTAAATCGCTAATCTAATTGGGAATAATTCTGCTATAAAAATTCTATAGAATATTCTATGTGTAAAATGTAACTGAATTCAAATATCGTGTCGACATCGTCGAGATTAATAGACTTCCTCATACTTTTTTCCATAAAAGTTTCGCACGCACGCGAATAATGTCGCCATTGCGTTCGCTTTCGCGATTCCAAGTTTGTACCAGATCAAACTTTCCTTTCGTATTATGCGATACAATACACAGCACACACAGCGTCCATCTTATAGCTAGATAACTATGGTAATAGAACGCAAACCTAATTGCCTCCCACGGTAATAGACCTGTACCTTGGCTATACAAGTTCCTCCGACTACATACATCTTAGGTACCATTATGCACGATCCATTCTGCGGCGGCATGACTCGTCCCGACGATAGGATGTCTCGTTAATATGTGGTTACCGCGTAAAACAAGCCCGCCCAAGAGATACGAGACACACGAGAGACATTTACCTCCATCGTCGTCGACTTGTTCTCTCGCGGGTCTCTTCCTTTTCCCTAGCGCCTTACTTTCGTTGCGGTTTCGATAGCGTATGATCCGATAGCAGCATCGTTTCGCCACACCCTGGACTCATTTCCGCGTGCCGAGTCTGCTTCCGTCGCGCGTGCTAAACTAGAAATTGAAAGCGGCGAGTCGTAAATGATTCGCGATCTTAACATCCAGGGAAGTCGGCTCCTGGGTCGAGAGAGATCGTCACGCTTGCTCGTTACGTATAAACGATGCAATTCGGCAAAATTGCATACGACGATGGCATGCCTTTGTTTAGATGTTGCAAGTGAGTGACTTTCGTTATGGGTGAGCTGTACTTTATTAGTACCGTTACGATCGCGCAAATCGATTGGTCACGCAATGCGTTCAATATCGCATATGTGATTGGTTTGAGAGAAACGTGAACGCTGAGAAACATTGACATTCTATGAGATAGAGCAGACATCGTAAAAGAAGGAGAGGGAGAGAGAGAGAGAGAGAAGACTAAATTTATCTTCTCGCTAAAATGTATTATGCGATCGATCGAGACATGCGGTCGTTCGATGAGCAAATCTCGTTATCCAACACGCTGCGTGTCGAGTAATGATAATTAATGGCTTAGGAAGTTCGTGCGGAAAAGGGGAAAGAGATTTCTTATATCAATCATGAAACACCCGTGCGTACGAAAATAAATCGAGATGCGCATTTATATTTATAAACATCCAACATAGTCAACATGCGGATTATATAATATGTAAATGTGTACAGTGACTCTGCTATTTCGTTCAACCGTGATGCAATATCTCGTTCGCTAAGTGGCGGACCATTCAAGAAAAGCGCGTACGCTTCTTTAGTATTCTTGAATAGAAAGAAATAGAGAAAGAGAGAGAGAGAGAGAGAGAGAGAGAGAGAGAGAGAAGAGAAAGAAAAAAAAGAAAGAAAGATAGTAAACGCTATTATAGTATTATAATAATCATAAAAGTACTCATTTGTCCATACTTACAGATAAGCCAATCATATAATGAACCCAACGTATCAAATTGTTGCACATTATATTTATTTTTAATTCAATATGAAAACTGCCTGAAAAGGATTGCTATATTGATTCGCCTGATAATCGATCAACTTTCTGCCGCATTTCTTTTGAATGTGATACTATCATGGTGAAATAAAATTATACGCGTGTATATCTTAACGTCTCGATTACGCAAGTTTTGCTTCTTGTGATTTGAAACTACTTACTCATGACTCGATGCTAGCATCAATCTCGGTTACGAACATCTGTTCGACAAATGGAGAAAATAATGAGGACTTTGATGTTGACGACACAAATTATTGAATGATAGCGTTACGTCAAATACTTCCCATCATGATAGATGTAGATATAAGTACAATATATGCTTGTAATCGGTTATGAAATCGCGACTTTATATGGCAATTTTATGCAAACGCGAAATCCGATCGATTTTTACGAACTTTCGTTAATAAGATTTCACGCATTCGTTGCGCCGTTAATAAGTTTTTATGTAGCGATTTTATCGCGCCCAATTAGAGAAATCTTGAGAATAGAGAAACGGCACGGCTGGCTAAGACGGAAAATGATGATTATTGCATTGTAGGAATTTTTGTGGTTTCCGTATTATCCTCCGTTTCTTCGCGAAAATGCATCGATACAATGTGTGCAATTGCGATTCAGCGATATTAGTTAATATGTGCGTGCTACTAATGCATCGTGTATTAATAAAAAAGTTAATGAATTTGAACATAAACTTCTACAAAATCTGAAAGTATGTAATATTTTAACTTTTCATAAACTATGAAATGCATAACACACATTTGATATATTTTCCCCACCGCAAAAGAAATACCAAAATCCTTTCTATATCGTCATGTATACCGATATCATCGCTTGTTTGCACGGGAAAGTGATCGCCAACATAATATTGATATTGTCAAGAACGTAATCCGAAGTTCGTCGTTCCTAGCAAGTCTGTGCTTCTATAACAAAATTTATGATCTTAAAGAGAAAAATTTCGAGAAATTAATTAAAGAAATGGAAAAAATAAATGTCGAATGCTGATTATCTTTTATCATAATCAAATAATAAAACTGTTTCAATATTTAATGAATACTAAGCATATCGAATAATATTATTAATATAAGTCATTTTTTTCGGTTTATAATTCAGATCGTTCTAATTTATTGTATAACTGTTTATTATATAATTTATATTATCTTTTATTATCCGATCATATATCTTATGAAATAAAAATGTAATGAAATAATGATTTCTAAAGCACGTAATTCTCATTAACATCATTTCATACTCATATTAATTATGGATTATTCTTCCTATGAATTTTCGATTAAATAAATATACATTTATAACATATCTTATACAAGCTTAATACGTACACTTATACGTACATTTCATATTTTTCTTATTATTTATTGCCTCAGATCTTTCATTTATATATTTATTTAACAACAAACATCATATCTTGACATATTAAAAATGAAAACACAGAAAAAGAAAAAAAGATCATAATTTCCTTTAATGTAAAATATAATATAAAATCACATATGTATTTCGTTTAATTTTTATTGCGCAAATATATTATTTCATATAATACAAGCGTTGTAAATAAATAATAAATGCAATAAATTCATACAAAAGCGAACGATATATCTGAGTCTATTATTACGTGCAATTAGAAATTGATCATAGGTAAATTGCACATTAATTCTTGTACGTGCGAAATAGTAATAAATCTGAGGTTAGCCGAGCAGCCAAGAGTAAATTACCATGGTATCGATCCGAAATACGGAAGTAAATCCTAAAAAAAGAATAAATTATAATAAACTAGTACGAAACGGTTCTAATTGACTTTTAAATGTAATCTATGGTATTTTTGCATAGTTACAATTATGACTGTCAAACTTGGAACTTTAATTAATCTTGCAATTACACAATATATAATATATAAATTTATTCCATTATACTGATAAAAAAATTTTACTATAATGTTTAACATCTTTACATATTCATATATTTTTATTTATCTACGTTAAAGTTTTAATATGTTTTATATCTTTATATATATATATATCAATTTAAGTAAAACTCATCGGAACTAGAATATTTGGGAATAATGTTATTAACAGTTATCTAAAATCTGATAATATATATATAATTCAATGTATATATTATTTAATATATCAATGAGTCGCGAATTCGGATTATTCTGGGAAAATTAATTAAAATAGTCTTATGTTTTTAAAATAATATTCTTATTTTTTTGTTAAAATTATATACTTTTATATATATTTCTCTGTTAAAACTTATACATGTATATGCCAAAATATCTTAGAGATATTTCGCTATTTTATAAATTTATAAAAAATTTAATTTAATATATAAAATAATATCTAATATCTTTATTGTATTCATAATATTTATTTATGGAAATTGTCAAAATCGTTTTTATATTTAATTTGTAGTTGATGCGTCACATTACTTTTGGTACAATAATTGCGGTATATATGTGTATTTCCTTGTGTATTTCTCTTCAATTTAATATCACTATACACACATATAATACTTCTTTCTACCTACTTAATCAAACCAGTCAAATGCACTAACCACATTCAACATTAACCACAAACCACAATTTTATATTCAACTTGAACGTTTAATCTTAGACCGCAGAAAATAGTCACAATGTCTGAAAGTTCCATTCGGTCTGCGTCGCTTTTCCTAATTACGCTAGTAACAATAATATATCGATTCGCGGGAAAGTCGCAATTGATAGATATAAGTAATATCCTGGCACAAATAGTCTAACATAATTCAATGAGGTTGTTACCTTAATACCTCTTGCGTAATATCGAAGGTAAATTCGCAGAATTCTTATAAAGTACGCCGCAAAAAAACGTAGTTAAACTTATCGTTAAAGTAACAATCTCTATTGTCCGGCGAAACTATAAATTTAACTTTCATAGGAAGTGGAATATCTTCAGTAAACTGCATATTACGTGATAAAAATGAAAGATCAAATTCCTTTTATCGTCGTTCAAGAGTTGATTGATAGTGAAACATTCGACCGATATTTTTTTTCATCATAATAATCTTTTCAAGTAATTTGCTCCTAATAATTTCGCTACAGTACAAATTTAGATATGATAAAATCTTTTGGCTTAATAATTACGTTGAAAAAATAGAAGAAATAAATAATATAAATAATAATATAAATTAATAAAATAAAAATAAATAAATAATAATTAAAATAAAATAAAATAAAAATTAATATAAATAATAATAATATAAATTAATAAAAATGTTAAAAAGATCTATTTTTTTATTATTTATCATAATCAATAATTAAGTTGAAATAAGAAAAAAAAGATCAATTCAAGTCTGAAACTACACACAAGTAGCGTGTTTTATAAGAGCACGCATTAATCTTTCTCTCTTTTCGTCGTATCAATTCCTCCATCGTTTTTTTTTTCATTTATGCGCCGCGGGAAAACTTTGGAAGCTTTTCTACCAAAGATCGAAAAGATCATAGTCGTATGCGCGAACGGTGTCGTAATATCATCGCCGTATGGCACGTCCAACGCTGCTGTTCGCAATGCAATAACCACGATTACGCATTACCTGACTATGAGCACTTCCGTGATACAGTATCGTGTTTATGCATCGCTACTGGCGCAATGTAAAAGTGCATCGACTTTCGCGCGCGGTCTACCTACTTACCTAGCTACTTTTGCCGATCGCCTCACGTGAGCGCGATTTTCCCGTGCGAAGCTTTTTGTTCTTCTCGTCTGAGATATAAACGCGAGGGAAATTGCGTCGTCACGATTCAGTTTCCCGTAACTACTTTGCTGTGTAATGTTGCACTTGGCGAAAATAACGTGGTTGAATATTATATCGCGATGCGTGCACAATGATGTAATTACAGATTAATACATTTCTGCGAAACAATAGGAATAATTGGATGATTCCTTAAATTCATTTATAAAAGATTTAATTAAAAGTAAAATCACTCTCTTCTCACACGTACATCTCGCTTTTTAATTTTCATGCATCGTAATTTTTATTATATAATTCAAATATATGTATACGTATACTTGAATTATAAAAATTGCGGTGCATGAAAATTAAAAAGAGAGATGTATATTCTCATAATGAATCCCGCAAAGTATCGATCGATGAAAATCTAGGAAGGGAAAGCAAAAGCTATGTAGTCACATTAATATTATTGAATGTTTTAGTATGTATGAAATTGCGCACTACTTGCTAATCAAATAACGTAAAATTCAATGGACATGTAGTGTGCGAAAATCATATACATATTATATACTACTACAACTTTACTTTTCTTTCTCTATCTAGTTTTTTACATAATTATATAAAATCTTTCCTAGCATACGCGTACATAATGATATTATGCAATATATTCTTTCATTTTTATGCTATAAAAAAAGTAGAGCAACGCAAAATTATAGATCAATCGTGATAAAACAAAAAACAGATTGCTTATTAAGTAACGAAATATGAAATAAAATGAGCGTGAGATTTTTATAATAATTGTGCATAAGAATTCCGTTTCAAATTAAAGAAAACAATTTGCATCCTGTCGAGATTTAAGCTTTGCTATAGGCATATTTCCTAAGTCCGGATTTGCGACATTACGATAATTTTAGGTGCAATAACATAAAAAAGTTTCCGCGAGAAATATTTCTCAACTAACGTTCAGCTAGAAAATGACGACGTATGTATTTTGGCATACGTTAGGTTAGCAGAATAATTAAAATCGTATACGAAATAACATTAATGTATTTTATATTTTTATGCGATGAAAGTTTATCCCTGCATAATGTTCGATACGAATGGTTCCACATGAATAATTATAAAATTGTTTTTATTACGAATGTTTATATTTTAGTATGTAATCAGATAGTTTCACGGTCCAAATAACCGCAAAGGAATATATTATGTACGAAATTGTTATCTCCGAATTAATAAGGCGCATATCGGCATTTTTGTCTTATCCCGAAATAGAGGTAGTGAATGTTGTTTTCAATGAATTTATTAAATAGAATTCAAAAATAATCATTAATCTATTGCGAATTAATAAAATTATGTATTAAATGAAGTGAATCGGAAACACAAACCCATCATTCTTAAAATTTTACAAACATATATTTTTTTATAAAGATATTTTAGCTGACTCCAATTCAATACTTTTGGATTTCAATTCAACTCCTTTTAAATTCGATTATTATCTTATGAAATGTTTTAATGATGCTCAATTAATTGTATAATTATTGTAATTAATTATTATTATATTATTAATATAAATAGTAATTAATTATATAATTAATTTAATATTTATCTGTAACTCTCGTCTGCAATTTATTACTCTGCTTTGAAATCAAATTAAAATAATTACATTCATCATGATATATGTCTTATGAATATCCGGTGATTCGATCGAACCTTTCATTCGAAAGATTTTGTTGAAAGAGATACCATTTTAGAAATCAGCAAATTCTGATCCAAGTTTATCACCTTATAATCGCTTAAGTAACGATCAGAAGAAAATTGAGGGCGACTTCGCTTTGTAAGATAATTATAGTTCATCCGTTCGATAATTGTTATTTTCGGTATTCAGAAAATAAGAAACAATTTTTTGCAATGCAAGAATATCGTTTATTTTTATCAATAAATATCAAATGCAAATAATTTTGGGAATCATATATTACGCTCAATCTTATACCATCGATCGTCAGAAAGTAGGAATGATAAAGGTAGAAGAGCTTTGGAATATCAATACACATGATGAATTTGGATATATCTCATGTTATTCATCTTAACAATTCAATGATTTATATAATTTTATTTTATTTTCTTTAATTGTAGATCATACTTCATTCCTAATGATTTAAATTTCTTTATGCAGTTTACCGTGAACGTGCCTATGCATATTATTCTGAAAAAAGCAAATTACATTAAACAACAACAAAATTGTAATTAAAATTTCTGAATGGAGACATATAAAACTCGAAATGAAAAGCCATTTCCAAATAGTTTATGGAACCTTTAAGTAAGCTTTATTTTGTAATACAATCAAGAAAATTGTTATTAATGTTTTTTTTTCAGTAACATTTATTAAGAAATTTTCTCTTCAGTAAGATTAATTTTTCAAAGATTTTTCTGAAGACAATAAAGAATATAGTTATATCCAAAGAGAATAAAGAATATAATTATATCCAACGCGAATATGAATGGTACAAGCTAGTTTTACAATAAAGCTTTTTACAGTCAAGTTTAATTAGGATTATTAAAAGATAAAATTCCGACATGAAATAATATATGTATATATATATTTATACTATATTCAATTTTATATATTACTATATAACTAAAGATGAGACTTAATTACGGTCAACAGCAAGGAATTATTAATGGATTAATAATAGCAACAAAATCATCAATTACGAAAAAACGTACAGTATAAAGTTGAATTATACTGTAACATAAAGATAAAATTTTTGATATTGTTGAAATCAAAAGAGAGATATTCTCATATTAAAAAACAAGTAAACGATTTTATTTATAAAAATTTTAATAACGAAAAGTTATAGCTTGAAACATTTTTATCATTATGATTGTGATTTTATTATTATGAGAATTATAAATTATGAGCATTATTAAATAAATAATATTAAATATAAATATTAAATCACTATAAAATAATATTAAGTAATATAATTATATTATATAAATAATGTTAGATAATATTAAATAAATAATTCTTTTATAGTGATGATGTATGCGTATAATTCTAAAGATTTATATCTATTCAGTATGAAGTTTAAACTGATAGCGTGTGTGTGTGTGTGTGTGTGTGTGTGTGTGTGTGTATATATATATATATATATATATATATATATATATATATGTAACAAAAAACTATACTTTCATTATATATTGAATTTTTTTCTTCAAATTTTTTCTCTTTTCTTTTGTTATAAACATAATCTATAAAATAAAATATAAAAACACAAGTGTGTGTGTGTGTACACTTGTATTTTTATATTTTATTTTATATAGATTGTGTTTATAACAAAAAGATTGTGCTATAACAGAAAAAAAATTCGAAGCTTTATATATAATAACAGCATATTTTCTTTTTTTAAAGAGGTTTAGAGTTTATAGCATTTTCTATTTTATACATTATTATACATTAATCACTCAATATACAATATATATAACAATATAGATATACAAAATTTCTCTACATTTCTTCATTAATATACAAAAATTCTTCAAAGATATATTTCCAAAAATGTACTTATTAATATTAAAACTAAAATTTAATTATATTTAAACTAACCAGGTTGAGTATCATGTTTTGTATCTGCAACAGCTTTTATCAATTCGGTAGATTCAGTACTCGTTTCCGCAACAGCTTTTATCAATTCAGTAGATTCAGTACTTATATCCACAACAGCTTTTGCCAATTCGGTAGATTCAATCATTTCAGAAGTATTAATTTTCTGTGCATCCCTATCTTTATTTTCTTGGTGAGAAGAACTATTTTCATCTTGCATTGACATTTCTTTTACATTAATATCACTATTAGAATTAATAGATTGAGAAGTATTATCTTGTGTTGTTGTATTATTATTACTGTTAGTTGTAACATTTGTGTTCATTGTACGCTTCAAAGCCAGATATTCCTCTACTGATCCTGTTGGAATTTTTTCAGATGTAACAGCTGTATCAGTTGATGAGGATTGCGAAGATAGATTTAAATTTGGTGATTTATTCAACTTAGATAATCTTTGACGTTCTCTTAATCGTTTCCGAATCTCAGACTGTATCTTAGATTCTTTTATTACATTTTGAACATCATCAGTTTGATAATAGCGTGATGCCCAAGTTTCCATTGAATCTGATTTTGGCAAAGTTTGAGATACAGATTCCTTATGTTCTTCTTGAGAAGGAACAATAATTTCATCTTGACTCTTATCCTCATCGCAATTTTCTATATCCATGACATCACAGTAATCATCTAAGTCAATTACCTCATCCAAGTCTGCCAATCTCTCTTCTTCAATTTTACTTTCTTTAGATATTTCTTCTTCTGTTTTATTCTTTTCTTCCATAATTTTATCTTCATCAGAAAGTATTAATTGTTCAGTAGTATTTACATCATTTACATCATTTGATTGTTCTGTAATATTAATTTGTTTCGATTTTGAAGTGTTTTCATTGGTAGAAGAAGTAAGCTGTAATTTTGTATGTGACTTTTTCTTTGATCTTTTACGTCTCTCTGCAACATTGTCTGCAGAAATTGATATTGACAATGTATTGTTCTTTATATCTACATTTCTGTCAGGCATTATTGTTCTTATTTCGCTATTTAAGTCTGCTTTGGTTACAATGTTTGTATTATTGTGTTTTCCTGTTGCTTGAGTTCCTACAATTTTATTAGAATTCTTCGCGTTTTCATCCAAATTATTTGCAGATTTTCCAGTTTCCATTGCACGTTCATTTTTCAATTTTTTACTTATTCGTGTTTCATCATCAACTTCCCCATCACTATCACTAGATAATAATTCAACAACTGGAGTAGGTTGAATTACTAAAACAACATCTTCATCTTCACCTTTACTTTGTTGAGCACTGATAATTTGTTCCAACTGCTTGCGACAATTTTCTTTTGCCTTGTCATCGTCATGTCGCGTAGCAATGTTATTTTCTATTGTTTGACTGTCATTTATTTCTGATGGATTAGTGGATGGTATTACATCTTCCTCTTTTCGTATCAAAGCTCTTATAGCGCGAGCTCGCATTTCTAATTCTAATAAATCTAATAAACTGTCTCCTTCTTTTCCTTTATCCTTATCATCTTCTTTTTTAATTTTAACATTTTTATTAGTTTTATCACTATTTTCATTTTTAATACATTTTGCTTTAGATTTATCTGAATCATTTTTCTTAATTTGTGCTTTTCTTTTAATATTTACTTTATCTCTTTTTAACTTTCCCTGTTTACCATTTTCTGTTTTAGATGTATCGTCATCTGTCAACCATTCTTCTGTATCGGAAATGATTTCTAGAGAAGGTCCTATTGGAAAAAAGGTAAAATAATTAGATAGCATTATTTTTTTGGCGTTTTACATATATAATACTCAATATATGCATATACCTGAATCATCTGATTCGCTCGTGTCTGAGGATTCCAACATAGGTTTGCCATTTAATTTCGATAATATTCGAGCTTTAGACATACCATTTAATTCATTCACACAATATTCTTCCAGTTCACTTAAATCTACATGCTATATAAAAATTTAAAAAATGACATATATACTTAAATATATTTTCTATAAAAACTATATCAATTTACAAATATATTATGACTTACTTTCAAAACTTGAGGTAACATCATACGAATCTTTTCTGGCTTAACAGATTTGAAAAGTTGTCGAGCTAATTCCTTACGATTAGATAAATAATTCTTAATTGGTTTTAAATCTCTTGTATCAATCTCTTCTTCATCTGATGATGATGATGTACAAGAAGATAGACTGCTGTGTTCCTTAAAAAAAAATTATATTTAAAATATTGTACAATAAAAATCTCTTATTGGAAAAAATTTTATATAATTTAAAAAAATAAGAGTTAATATATAGTTTATATATATATATATATATATATATATATATATATACATATCATGTCTATATAATTATTAATTACCTCACTGCTGCGCATATTATTTCTAGTCTTCGACATATTTACTTAATGTAAGTAATAATCTTTTCTATCTAAATATTGCAAATCGAATGAATGTAAAACAAAACTGTCTTTTTATATTTTCATCTGAAAAGACATAGAATAAGAACTTTACATTTTATTATTACACTTACAATGGTATATTTTTACATTTTCTTTTTTGTTTAAAAAAAAAGAGATATATGTTGATGTAAAAAAAGAGAAGAAATCACATGCCAAAAACTATAAAAATGCAATTTCATAAAGAAAATAATAGATTAAATAATTTATAATTTACATTTTAGGTTAGTAATACCTGTATTGAAAATGCTGTATTGAAGTGTAAAAAGTTAATAAAAGTTTCACATACAATCATTTTTATTCAAGCATATAAAGGATCATATTATAATTTATCACAAAAATAGAACAAATAATAATTAATTTTGTATAAGAATTATGGAGCACTTTAAAAAATTCTTATTTTCTCATTGAAATCTATTTTTCTAATGAATGAATGGAGAAAAGAATGTCAATTAAATACACACATTCATTCATGCACGATGTATTACTGCGTACTATTCCAGTCGTACCACTTGTACTTTTATTCATAATAGCAAAATAAATGAATAAAGATTTTCTGATTCTGGTAATTCTCGTGCAGGTGTCGTTAGATGCCGATGTCGATGGTCGTGTATAACCTTCGTTGACAACTGTTTGTCAACAAGATGACATTAATCGAATATAGTTGCTAAGCGTTTAATTGCAGTAAGTATTATCTGATATTATCATATTAATTTAATAGAAATATTATATGGTAAGGATAGATATCATGTCAGATATTAAGTATTTAATCTAAGGATTTATTTTTGACACAGGCATTTTGACAGATAATCATTGAGCTTTCTAAAAAAATCAATCAGCTGTGAAATTTACACATATCGTTACAAAATATCTATGAAATTTTGATACTATGTTAAATAAGTGTAATATATGATTACACTATCTGTCAGAAAAATTTAGCATCAATTGAAACCTTGTGTAGTTCTGTATAAATTACGAAAGAAAAATGTTGAATCGTTTTAAATCAGTATTAATGAGTGCTGTAGGCGCAAGTGAGCTAGGCCTACAGTACCCTAATGATTCGGATAATGATATGATGACAGATTACATTAACTCTAATTATGTCATGGAAGTAGAAAACAAACCTTATAGCCGTCCAAGTTTTCTAGGGTTGACAGCTGAAGAGACACAGGTATTTCTATTTTTTCTTCATATTGATTTATGAATGTTTTTTTTAAATATACAAATTAAATATACAACAAGAAACTAAAAGAAATACAATTGTAATACTAATATTTGTTTAAATTATCCACAAAATATTTATTTTATATAGGTGAGCGCAGATCACAGAGTAAGGCCTATAATAGTTCCTAGAGATCTTAGTCGTTTGCCATGGTGCGCTGGCTATGCAGAATGTATAAATGCTGGAAAGAGTACTTGGAATGAGGACCAAGCTTCTGCAACACGTGGAGATCTAAAATTGTCGGATGTTAATGTCACACTGCCTTATGTCATGTTTTCAATGTTTGATGGTCATGCAGGGTATCAAGTTGCTCTTACAGCAAGATTACAGCTACATAGAATAATTCTTGTATGTGCTATCTTCCAGAAAATTTTATTCAAATAATCTTATAAAAAATTAACTAATAAACTATTTAAAAATAGGAAAGATTATTGGCTATACCAGCTAATATGCTATTGAATGAAGATGAAAACGAGTTGATAAAGGGCAGAGACCTAGTTACAGGTGCTATAGAATTAGCATATAGACAAATGGATCAAATGGTAGAGGTACAAGCTCAAAATGGTGGTGGTGGTTGTACAGCTATTACAATTCTATTTCTTAATGGAAGGCTGTATGCAGCAGGAGCTGGTGATTCCAGGTTGTATTATGGTTTATAAATAATGGATTGATATATAAAATTAAATACTTATGTAACTATTTCATTATTAGGGCTGTGTTAGTTTTGGGAGAGGAACAACGTGCTCTCACCAGAGATCATACTCCAGATTCCGAATCAAATCGCGTTAGAGCTTTAGGTTTTCTCAGACACAATGAGTTGCTTAAAGGTCATTTTACTCCACTAGAATTTAAAAAGAGACCATTACAAAAAGAATTGGGATCTATGGTTTTGTACCGAGAGCCTTTTATGACAGGTTGGGCATATAAAACCTTAACGCACCCAGACTTAAAGTTACCGCTTATTTCAGGACATGGAAAGAGGGTATATTATCATTAATATCAATTTATAACTTTTCAAATTAATTTTGTTTATGGTACTATGAGAAATCATTTGTAATATGTAGAGCAGAGTAATGGGAACAATAGGCGTGACTAGAGGTTTTGGAGACCATGGTTTAAAAGCGGCGAATACTGGGGTTAATATTAAACCATTTTTATCATCACAACCTGAAGTGCAGTCTCTGGATTTGGACAGTTGCAATCTTACTGAAAGAGATTGCATTATTGTCGCTACGGATGGGCTCTGGGATGTAGTATCGGACAAAACAGCGGCAGCAATACTTAGAAAGACACTAGCACCTGATACTCCATCATTAGAATATAGGTATTTTTTTCTTAGATTAAACTAAACTTTAAAGATAAAACACAATACAAGCTCTTTAATTTATAGACTGACAATGGGTGCTCAAGAATTAGTGCAAGCGGCGAGAGGTCGCTTAATCGGCAGAGTTTGGATGGGAAAACCCGAGAATCCTAACGAAACAGATGAAAAATCCTCACCTATAGCATCGGTGGACGATATTAGTGTGTTAGTAGTACCTTTATATCCTTATTTATGCGAACATAAACAGTGGCTAAAAACGACACAGCAAGAACGAAAATATGCTGCTGATTCCCTAACGACAATATGTTTTGATTATCCTGTATCTAACAGATCAGCTGATAATCCTGCATAATGAATCATTACAATTATCCAATCAGATCTGATTTCATCTAATTTACAATATGAAATAAGAAAACGACGTTATTATTATCCAATGTGCAGCATTACTATAATAACTCATCACAAATTCCTAATTGTTTATTTAGCTCTAGAATAATTAGCAATATTTAGGTGCACAACAGTGCTGCATATATATTTCATAGTTTCTCTTTCTGAAATTTTAAATTGCATACTGCCACTGTATTTTAACTACAAAAAATGGCTATGTTCTTATTTAAACAAACATTCCACTATATTATATTTTACATAACATAAAATATGTATAATATTTTGAGGCCGTTGATACGAGCGTATATAAACATCTCATATATAAGCACCAATTTCTAGACTGTCATTTATTATGTAATTAATATATAGACTATAGGCAGTGTAACATATTAACAAAATATCGAAATATTTTTTATATTGCTTTTGAGGCAAATATGTGTTACCATTCGACATTTTAGATGCTTTATGATGTCTTATCTACTCATTATTATGTTAAAAATATTAACCCTGGTTGCTCAAACACACAGTATGTATATATAATATATATGCTGAAAGAATATGTTGAGAACTTTGAAGAGAAGGCAAGTAAAATTTTAAGTATATAATAAATTAAGACTTCTTTTGTTAACATTATTCATGTTGATTAATTATAATGAATTTTAATTTTATTATTAGCAATAATTTTGCGAATATGTATAATGTTAGCATAATGCAGCCAAAGGGTTAACACATAATTGTAAGTATGACATAAATGATCAATGTGTATGTATGTGTAAGAAATTGTATATAAATAGAGAAAAAGCATTACTCTATCTTATTTGCAATGTATAACTATGATAATAAGCAGAATTTATGAGATTATATTATGTAGCCTATATAGTTAGAATAATTCTTGTAGTTATAATATTAAATAAAATAGTAGTAGTTATAATATTAAATATAACAAATACATTACATCTTAATATAGAAACATATATGTAGAATTTCTATAAAATATTAAGAAATTTTTCAATCAATCATGAATTTTTAACTAGTGGTTTGAAAATATCTCTCATACATTTCAATTTTGATTTACTTTCAATATTTATTGTAAGATTAATGTGAAAAATGTTGTTTAATCAACGGATTAAATTGAAATACTTTATATCATGAATGTGCGATGGCGCTACAGGTATTAAATTAGCGTTTGCCAATAGTATCAATTACAACCAACTCATAATGATGATGAAATATGTTTATAATTAAGTTATTTATAATTTAAAAAAATTAAAAACATTTCCACATCTTAAAAAATATATATGTATTATTTGAATATATCTTATTAAGCATTATTTTTAGATTTAATTTCATCATTAAAATAATATAAATTAAATTAAGAAATAATTGCATAATGCACACAGAAATTATTAAAAATAATCAAATTTCTTTAAAAGTTTCAGTACATAGACACAATTTATAACAAAAATGGCATGCTACAAAATCAATATGAATGAAGTTATTATTATTATGAAATATTCGGAATATTATGAATGTACTCTTATATTATAGTCCTTGCTCGAAACTCAGACAAAAAAGTATCGTGATTTTTAAATATTCAATTTCTGTGAAACTTGCTAAGTCTTAGAAAAGTTTGCAGAGACTCAGTTGTAATGGTTGATGTATGATAATCTTAATAAAGCGAAAAGAAACAATCGATAACGATCGAAACTTCAAGAACATTGTAGGATCGAAAATCGCAATATAACCGAGTAATTTAGAATTTTGCGTTAATAAACTTTCTATATATTAGTATATTAGTATATGTCTGTATATATATCAGTATATTAATATATGTATATAATATATATGTATATACATTCTTACATTTTTAAATTTCAGTTCATCAAATTTTAATATTATAATTAGGCATTTTATTTATAATTTTGTCAAAAAAAGGAAAATGATTTGGAATTTTTGGTATATTGTTATGAAAAAATTATACATAATTAAAAATTAGTCTATTTTGTCAAGATTATAATCATAGCATATAAATTTATAAAATATCACATTCGATTTGTAAAAAATAATATTTTGCCACGCAAAGAAATTTAGAAATATTTAAAGAGATATCTCGAAAAGGGAGGAATAAAATACCTTCATCAAAACAGTCGCGCATACATAGTCTGCATCGAGCTTCGCCTAAATGAATTGTCCTTCTGTGCGTTAAATGACGAACTTTTGCGATGTGCGTACAGGCACGCATGTGAACATGTTTTATACGTTTCCAGAGCAAGTGCATTTCCTCGTTACGCGGCCCAAGCACAGTTAACTCTCATAAATTTAATTACAAAGCGCAACCAAATAGGAGAGACCGATCTCTCTTTTCGCCAATAAAATCGTAATTATATAGTCTCGATGCTGCGATTATTTCAAAATTATTTATCGAATCATTTATCGATGAATTCCACGAATTATACGTTATTAATTCGCAGAAATACATATATCTGGAGATGAATCTTAATCAGATATAAATCAAGTGAACAATTGGGAGTGATAATTTTATACTTAACTTGTCGCGTGATATTTCTTGAAATATTTTGAAGAGAAGATAAACAATGTCATGTATAATCTCTTGTTATCTTATATTATATTGAAACAAAGTTATTTATTAACAATAAACAAATCTCTGTAAAAATTATGAAGACTTCACATTTATAAAATATATATAAAAGATTAATTTTTATGTTTGTTATATATACTTTAATTGCTTAATGTCAATTATATCATATTATCAATTATATTTATCCTAATAATTAGGAAAATATTATTGGTACATTATGCTTCATTAACGTGAAAGAGCAAATAAAATATAAAGCGGAATACTAGCGCAATTTTTTTATTCCATTACGGATTAAACGGTCGGGAAACTGAAAGACGTTACGTAGCAAATTCCTGTCGACCGACGACGATAAAGTCGGAGATGAATTGTAATGCGCCATGCATTTCCGTCAACTAAGAGCGACAGCATAAAAGGGTGCTGAGATAGAGTGTCGCAAATCACTGTACGAAAAAGTGCTCGTCTACGAAAGTATAGACAAGCGTTGTGAAAAAACTAAACCTAGTTTGACAGCTCCCCGTTGACCCACCATCGATCGATTCTCAATTTTGCGAAAATTGCTGTGCATTGAGCTGACGGCTATCGAATCTCGTCTTTCCTACGCTATGCATCATCGTTTTTCAAACTTCCAATCAATGATAAGAATATATCATCTATATATTTTTTACTAATTTTCAACTAATAAAATGAGATTAATTTTACTTATACGTAACACTTAATGAAATATGATATACAAGAGAATTTTAAAAACAAATTTTACAAAAAGATATATCTTATATACATTTATAAAAATATATTTTCTCTTCTTTCTTTCTTTCTCTCTCTTTCTTTCTGTTACAGGAAATTTTAATTATTTACTTTAATACAGTATTGAAAGTCAGTTCTATTTATATCTTGATAAGTAGATCAATCATACTCGATAGTTTTATCATAAAGTTTCTGCATGTTATCTCAGAAACGTAATGTACTACACCGTGCATTTGGTCGAAAAATGGGATGCACTACTTTTGAACGGTCGTCTGATCGCCGATATGTTTTTCATGGCGCCGGATTATGACGGGCGATCTGTCACGGTCACCATAACGGTAACTCCAAGGGGCTGGAAAGGGCTTAATGCCTCTCCTGCTAGGGATAGCTCAAGAAAGAGTGTGCGTGTGGAGAAGGATGAGGAAGGAGAGTACGTTACACCATATCAAAATGGCCACAACTTAGGGGTCCTGTGTTACCCCGATATATCATCGTTAGAGAACTTTGGACGGCTTCCTGGTTCCAGCATTGATGGCTTCCTCCGATACGAAATGATGTATCTGTTCCTCATTGCTACAGCGTGGAAATGAGAATCGGATGCAATTTGAAAGTAAAAGTATCGTCTAAAACGATAACAAAAAGTTTCTCGAATGTTTATCCTATCCGTCTTCTGACTCGCATTTGGCATAAGAATTGTATTTAAATTAAAAAGAGGTGAATTACATATGTACAATATATCAACTTGCGATCTCTATAGAAATCTGTTTGAGAACAATTTACATCTGTTAACGAACAATTTTTCACACTGACATTGCAGTTAGAATAGGATTAGAATAATAAATTATTAATAAGATTAGAAAATTAAATTGCGATTAAATAATAATTTATACTTGCAGTAGTATATGTTGTTTTTAATAATAGCTTAATTTATCCATCATATATTATTTTGATTTTACTAAGTTTGTATTTTGTATATAAAAATTATGACATTAAGATTAGCAACATTCTGTCTGCATGTATTTCTTGGGATGCACATCGTACATTGTATATTCTATATTGTAAACATGTCGCTATTGATCATCAGCTATCACATGCTTCTTGTCAACTCTCTTACTTGCATAAACCTAATGTCGATCTGCTACGAGCTAATGTTTGGCTGCCGAACGATAATGCGACAAGTTTGCTACCGAGGGATTACCTCACCAGCTCTCATAGTTTCAGCTTCCAAGCCTATATACATGTGATTTCTATATCTCCACGAAGTGACGCGATATACTTCTCAGGTATTCAGACAACGGTGCTAAATTTTCACTTATTGCTTACGCGCAGCTAAGAAATTTCAATTTGCTACTCAAAGCAATTTGCTGATTAAATTCACTTGCATACATAGTGTCATAAACTTGTCTTGATAAAATAATATACGGAATATTGCAAGAAAGTGTGGTAAACCAAGAAAACATTCTATATTAGTTTTGAATATTAAATAACAATTGAATAGTGCTATTAAGGTATATTATTTAGCAAAGATATTATGGCAACATTTTTATAAAATATTTCTAGAAAAAAAGTATTACTAAAAGAAACAATGAATCGAGCAATCCATCTTTTTGCATTCGCAGAGAAATAATTCAGGCAAACATTTAATTTGACTTAATAATATTCGGAGAAACAAAAAGCGACAAATTAAACTTGATCGATTAAAAGTTAGAGATTGCGGAAGATAATAAGGATCACGAAGGAAGTTAAAAGAAAGTATTTCTCCTACCTTTTTATCTCCGACTAGTAAGAGCTTTTTGTCGTCATTAGCTGTTTTTTTTTTCGAGATGGTGCCCGGTTTGCAAGGTATAAAACGGGTCGCCCGACTGACGAGTATTTCTCTTAGAAATTGATATTAACTTGATATTAACTACGCAAACGGACAGATAGAATGATTACATGCACATCGACACACATATACATTCGTACATATTTGCATGTTGAAAACGACTACATTGAGTTAAATTAATTTTTTTTCCTACGAGTCACTTATGCGATGTCATGGAGATAATCGCAAGCTCTCTTTGAGAAGCGTGCATTCCCACATATACGCTGATGTTGAAAATGAAATGAAGATTCCGAGAAAAAAAAATGAACCAATCATCAGTAATTATAAAATACTTATAAACCAAGTATCAGTGCGCTTTTATCCGTACTCCTAATAAATTCCTCGAATATAATCTGAACTGGCAACTCTGAAAGTAATAATAGAGATGGTGCCGTCACTTCGTCTGAATAATTATCATCGTATATTTTCAGTCGCTCCCGCGACGCGTGCGATATCAACTTTTCCTAAATACATTATCTAGATTTCGCATCGGCGTTAATCTGCCCAGCGGTAAGTAATTAAATTTCTGCGAATGCCATTTCCGCGAAGAGTTTATCTAGAACGGCTAAAAATTCTGACTTTTAGTTGCCAGCTTTTATCGGGAAATGCGACAACGCGACGGGTCGGCGGATAAATCCGCCAGAGCGTTTTCCATCCGCGCGCGTCCTTTTCGCAAGTTAATGCGCTTTCCGCAGGACGCTCG